CTTTTAAAAACAGAACAAAAAGGGTATTTCCACATCTAATTTTGCAATTTTTCTGGTTTGTCTTATCAAAACTGCTCAATTTTTGAAAAAAAAAACGTTTATAAATTTATACAAAATAATACTTTTCAGAGTTAATTCAGCAATTTTCTCCTTAATTTCGAAAAAAAAAATTATATTCTAAATTAAATGATGAACAAAAACACGATTAGCCCGTCACACCAAACTTTTATTTTAATAGCACAACGCGTTTCGACCACAAAGTGGTCATCCTCAGGTGAGAATAAAACTAAATAAAATAAATGAGTAAAAATAAATGAGTAAAAAATAAAACTAAATGAGTTTTTAAATGACGCTGAAACGCTTTAGATTTATAAAAACATGCAAAAAAAGGCATTTTTCCACACCTAATTTAGCAATCTTCTACTTCATTTCGAAAAAATATTATGAAAAACGTTCTAAATTCATAAAAACAACTCTAAGCAAACGAAAATAAAACATTTTACCTTGTTTTTTCAGTTTTCTCGTTAAAGAACGCTTTAAATTTGTATAAAAACAGACGAAAAACGACATTTCCACATTAATTTAGAAATTTTTCTGTTTGATTTTGTCAAAACTCTTTACGTTTTTTGCTGAAAAACTCTCTAGAATTTATAAAAAAATATAAATTTCACATCTAATTTAGCAATTTTCTTGTTTATTTCGAAAAAATATTCTAGATTTGGTAAGTTACTAAATGAAAAACGCTCAAAATTTAATGAAAGAAGTAAAAATAATGTAATGTAGGAATTTTTCTGTTGTGTTGGCAAAAATCACTGAATTTTAGTAAACTTCTCGCTGAAAATGGGCATTTCCGCATCCAATTTAGCGATTTTTCAGCTTTGTTTTGTGAAGACTGCTTAAATCTTGTGAATTTTTAGCTGAAAAACGCTGTTAGAATTTCATAGAAAATAATACATTTCAGACGTAATTTACCAATTTTCTACTTTATTTCAAAAAAATATTTTAGGTTTAGTGAGTTTTTATATAAAAACGCTCAAAATCTAATGAATAAAGTAAAAATAATGCAAGTTGGACTTAATGTAATGATTTTTCTGGATAAATCACTGAATTGGAGTGATTTTTTTGCTGAAAAACTTACACTTCCAATTTAGTGAGTGATTTTTCAGCTTTGTTTTATCAATACTGCCCAAATTCAGTGAGTTTCTTACTGAAAAACGCTCCTAAATTCATAGAAAATACAACATTTCAGACCTAATTTAGCAAAATTTTCGAAATTCGTGAGTTTTTCTACTAAAAACGTTCTAATTTCATAAAAACAAACACTAAACAAACGAAAATAACACATTTTACCTTGTTATTTCAGTTTTTTCGTTAAAAACGCTTTAAATTTGTTAAAACAGACGAAAATGGGCATTTTTCCACATCTAATTTAGCAATTTTTTATTGTATGTCGAAATTATATTCCCGACTTAGTGAGTTTTTCTATGAAAACCGTTTTCATTCTAATGAAAAAAGTAAAAATAAAGCAAATCAAACTTATTGTAGCGATTTTTCTGTAGTTTTGGGAAAATCACTGAATTTCAGTAAATTTCTCGCTGAAAAAGGATATGTCCACACTTAATTTTGCGAGTTTTCATCTTTTTTTGTCAAAACTACTTAAACCTAGATTTCTACCTGAACAACGCTCTTAACTTCATAGAAAATAATATCACTTTTCTATTTTATTTCCAAAAAATATTTTAGGTTTAGTGAGTGAAGTAAATCAAATTTACTGTAGCGATTTTTCCGTTATTTTGGCCAAATCATTAAATTTTGGTGGATTTTTCGCTGAAAAAAGGCATTTCCACTTTTAATTTAGTGATTTTTCAGCTTTGTTTTATCAAAACTGTTCACACTCAGTGAGTTTCTTGCTGAAAAAAGCTCCTAAATTCATAGAATATAAAAAATTTAAAGCTACTCGTAATTTAGCGTTTTCTACTTTATTATGGAAAAATTTTCCATAAGAAATAATCTAAATTCATAGAAACAAACGGAAATAACACAATTTACCGTGTTTTTACATAATTCTGGAACAAATTGCACAGTTTTCTTGTTAAAAATTTATAAAAACAGACGAAAGGCATTTTTCACAACTAATTTAGCAATTTTCTACTTCAAGGAAAAACGTTCTAAACCTAATGAAAAAAGCAAGACTTTTTGTGGTTTTCTGAAAATCACTGAATTTACTGAAATTTCTCACTAAAAAGGTACATGTCCACATGCAGTTTAGCATTTTTTCTGCTTTGTTTTGTCGCAATCTCTCTTACTATTAATGAATAATAAAAATCAATGAAAATTCGCTCATAAAATTTTGACCCTAATTTCTTTAACAATAATGAATTGCTCGCTTTGTTTATGTTATTAACTGATATCTTGACCACTGATCAATCACACGTGTCGCTTATATTTTTATTTGTTTCAATTACATTTCAAGCCACACATGTATTTTCTTTTATTTCAAAAAAAAATCATTTGTTTTGGTTTAACCAATCTCTTATCACTCTCTAATGCAATAACCAATAAAACTCGAGGTCAAGGCTAAAAAAATTTCTCTTGTATCAATTGAATTATGACGTCAGAGGCCCACACCAATCACGTCACGGCCACTTTACCCCAAATCGTAACAAATCGAATCAAAATCAAAGAAAATGCCCACAATTAGCGCATCAACCCGGACGGAACAAAGATTACCTCGGGGTCACCACCAATCATTCAAAGTCGAATCATTACGATAACACGACTCTATAAAGCATCGCACATTCAAACAACGATCTAGTGTGCGTAAAACCACCATGCGAACAAACCACAAAAAGTACGATTTTGAGTTGGCAACATTGCCAATCACAAATTGAGTTGGCAATGTGGTGCCAATCACAAATTGAGTTGGCAATGTTGCCAATTTAATTAATTTTTTTTTTCAGTGAAGAGCTTCGAGATGGCAACCTACAGCCGGCTGTTGTTCCGCGCCGTGAGGATCTACTGGAGGGCCCTCTTCGTCGTGGTGTATCCTCTAGTGCTCCTCCCTGTGTTTCTGCACAATAATGTGGCCGCCTTCAGGTGTCTTTATGTGGTGCTTTTAATGGCGGGATATTGGGTTTTTGAAGCGCTTCCACTTCCGGTCACTTCGCTCATACCAATGGTACTATTTCCGCTCATGGGTATCTTGGATTCGGATAAAACATCGCTGTGTTATCTCAAAGAGACAAATATGATGTTTGTTGGGGGTTTAGTGATTGCCATCGCTGTCGAGTATTGTAATTTGCATACGAGGGTGGCCTTGTATGTTATACAACTGGTGAGTTTTTTGTTTTTAAGTTGGTGAATGTTGGTAATTTAATTTTTTTAAATTATAATTTCAATTGTTTTAATAAAAAAAATTAATGACATAAATAAATGTTGCTACTTTTTGAATTATTTTAACGAAATCTGTTAGTCACAAAGTTTTGAAAATCATAAAAATGAAACAAAACAGATTTCAGTCAAATTTCAGTCGTAATTTCTGAAAAAACAAAAATTTAAAAATCTCATAAAATAACCCAAAATTCCTGAAAAGGAAAACTAAAAAAACTAGTTTCAACGAAATCTGTTATAACTTACTAAAAATTGAGACAAATCGAGTAAAATTTGCCCAAATAATACAATTAGACTTAAATTTTTCGATTTACTTCACTAATTCAACAAAATTTCATTTAAATTGATCACAATGAGAAGAAATAAAACAAAAACTAATAAAAATGTAATAAAAACCGGCCCACACCGAGCAGAACATTGTAAACATAATTGAGACGATCTTGCATTTTTTTTGAAATTTGTCAGAATTAAAAAGATTTTGACTTAAAATTTCTTAACATTCAATAAAATTTTGCTTTAGTTTTTAACACAATCTCCAAATAAAATAAATAAACTTTAGCTAAAATTGCTTAAAACTGAACAAAAGTGAATGAAAGAAAACATTAAAAAAACATAAGTCGACAGAAACAGACTGAAAAGACAAAAATGGAGTCAAATGTTGCAACTTTTGGATTATTTAATGAAATCTTTTTTATTATTTCAACAAAATCTTTTAGTTTGCAAGTTTTTAACAAAAAAATACAATTAGAGTCAAATTTAGTCAAAATTCTTGCATTAATTTAACACAATTTCGCGAAATTTGTTAAAAACTAACAAAAATGAAACAAAATAAATCTTTCTGGTTCATTTTTTTAATGAAGACTTTTATAATACAACAAAAAAGTTGTAATTTGCTAAAAACTAAAACAAATCAAACAAAAACTAT